GGGGGAGCTGGGCTGGGGTGCGGGGCTGGGGTGCTGGTGGGCAGGAGACCGTGCTCCCACCGCGGTCTGTCCCTGGCGTGAGCAGAGCTGGGCGCGGCGGTTCTGGGGCAGAGCTTGCTTTTCCGCTGAAGCCACTCTCCCCACGACACGCTCACCTGCCTGCCTTTATTATTACAGTTTAATGTTTTTCATTTTCCATGTTAAAAATGCTTGTGTTTAGTTTGCACCAACTGTTCAAAAAAACCCACCCATTCTAAAATCCAGATAGGATTTCATCGGAGTCACACAACAGCCTGGCAAAGCGCAAGTCAATGGAATCAATACGGTCTGCCCTAGCGCCTGCGGCTTTTCCAGCCTGCTCCATTGCTAATCACTCCTCAAGGCTCCTTGGCGCCCGGCTTTATTGATTGCCTCTGAAGAAGAATGTGGAGGGGCGGTCCCCAAGGACATAAGGATGCCACTGGCAGGGGCAGAAACAGAGGCACCCTCTCCGGAGGCCTGTCCTGCTGCTGCTGCTGAGCAGGACTTCGGGCCACGGCCACCCATCATGACCTCAAAGCTGGCCCCAGAGGTCCCAGGACAGAGGCCCTGGGAGAGCATCACCTGCTCCGCCTCCGCAGAGAGATGTTCCTGTGAGCTCGGGGTGTGGAGAGATGAGGGAAGGAGCCCTCCATGGATGCTTGGGCAGGGAGGTGTCCGTGTAGATGAAGGCTCAGAGGGCTGACTCACCCCAGTTCTGCTACTCCAGTAGCTGTGTGGCCCTGGGCAGGTTCTTCAAGCTCTCTGTGCCTCAGTTTCCCTGTCTGTAAAGCGGGATGTCATGTAGCCGCAGAGCAGGGTTGAGGTGAGGAGTCCATGAGAGCCTGTCTGTGAGATGGAAGGTCTCAGATAACATCCAGCAAAAGTTCACGTCTGCTCGGAACCTCAGAATGTGACCTTTTTGGAACTGGTGTCTGCAGATGTAATGAAATAGGAGTTTGAGATGAAATCCTCCTGGACGAGGCTGGGCCCTCGACCCAAAGACTCGCGCCTCCGCAGGACTAGAAGACAGAGGTGGGGGAGACTGGGGCCATGCCACCACAAGCCAGGGGCACCGAGGACTGCCACGGCCACCGTGGAGAGAGGCCTGGGACAGACGCCGCTGCAGAGCCTCCAGAGATCACAGCCGGCCCGCAGCTCGCTCGCAGCCTTCTGGGCCCCTGAACTGTGAGAAGATGCATTTCTGTTTTAAGCTGCCCCATTTAAATGGAGCAGGCTGGAAAACACACGGACGCTGGGGCAGACTGGGCACCTCTTTACAGCAGCCTCAGGAGACTCCTCAGTGGGCGTCCGTGGTCGGCCTCTGATCATTCCCAAAGTCACGTTCCCATCCTAAGCCCTGGGACCTGTGCACGTGACCTGTTCTGGAAAAAGGGCCTTGTAGATGTGGTTAGCTTGAGGCTCTTGAGATGAGACGATCCTGGATTACCGGGGCCCAAATCCCAGCTCAAGTGGCTCCATGAGAGATTCGGCACACAGAGGAGGCCGTGTGGCCACAGAGGAGAGGCTGGAGTCACAAGCCACAAGCCAAGGGCAGCGGGGGCCCCCGAGGCTGGAAGAGGAGAGGAAGGAGCCTCTCTAGGACTGGCCCGCTGACAGCAGCCTCCAGAGCGGGCAGGGAATCAATTCTGTGCTCTCACACTTATGTGTGTCTTACGGCAGCCTCGGGAAACAGACACACCGTTTCTCATTTGGAGCCTGGTGTCTTCCCCTAGCCTGGCCTCTGTCCCCTAGCAGGGGTCTCCCACAGCCTGGGGCTTCCCCAAAGCCTAGGGCCTCCCCACAGCCCGGGGCCTCCCCACAGCCCGGGCCTCCCCAAAGCCTGTGGCCTCCCCACAGCCTGGGACCTCCCTGAAGCCTAGGGCCTCCCCACAGCCTAGAGCCTCCCCAAAGCCTAGGGCCTCCGTGAAACCTAGGGCCTCTCCACAGCCTGGGGCCTCCCCACAGTCTAGCTGAGGAGCCAGGGCTATGCTTCCTCCTGGCAGGTGTGAGGTGCCCTGGGGTGCAGAGAATACACTCCATCCATCAGATGCGAACTCCAGCAGCGTGGTGTTGGGGTGTTTCCTGGAGTAGTGGCTGAGGGGTCAGGGGTGCAGTTTGCTGACTGTCCAGCTCAGCACGCCATGGGAGCTAGCGGGGTCCCTGACACCAGGCAGCCGGTGGAAGCTGAGACAGAGGCCGAGCCAGCTGGGGGCTTTAGGGAGATGTGTCGGGCCCTCTGCACAGGCAGCAGGACCCTGGGCTCACTGTGGGCATCAAGGAGTGGGTGGTGGGGCAGCCAGGAGGAGCTGGGATGGAGGTCATGGGGGTCATCTCGGCGGGCAGAGCCTCAGGGCCCTGGGGTCGAGGGGAGTGGGAGCCTCCATGGTTCTGGATCCACACCAGCCAGAACTCTATGTTCCAGGGAAAACTGCTTTTAATGCTGACTTACACTCAACACTTCAAGGCCATGGAGCAGGGGAAACACCCTGTCCCATGCCCCACACCCTTGGAGGGTGAGGTTGGCAGGGCCAGCATCTGCCTAGCCCGTGGCAGCCTCAGTCCCCAGAGAGCAGCCATGGCTGCCTGGAACCGCTGGGCAGAAAGCCACACACTGACCATCGGCAAAGCAGGGCTCTTCTGCAGGGGCTTTTTCGTGTTGGGTTCTTTGGCGCCATCCAATAGAAACAGGACGGGAGCCACAAATGGGCTCCACATATGTAACTTCAAGTTTTCTAGTAGCCAAGTTAAATACGTTTGAAGGGCATCTTAATTTTAATAGTATGTTTCATCTAATCTGCTATAACCAAAATTCCTATCATTTTAACAAGTACTCAATATACAATTGTTACTGAGACTTTTACATCCGTTTAGAAGTGTTTCATCAAGTCTCTGCAGCAGCACGTCTCAGGTAGGACGTGCCACGTTCCCCACACTCAGCGGCGGCTCCCAGCCTGGGTGGCAGCGTGGTGTAGACCTGAGCCCTGGGCAGGACTCTTCCAGGTCCTCCTGGCCGAGCGCGGTGCCAGCCGGGCAGTGCACGCTGGGGGATCGTGGGCCGCGCTGGTCCTGGCTTGGCACTGTTGCTGTGACCCTCGGGATGTTGCCCAGCATCTTTTGGGGATGGTTTCTTTTCCGTAAGGTGCGAGGCGTTGTGAGCATTTCAGTTGTGTGCAGCGCTGGCCTCGTAACCTCGGGGACCCTCGGTCGTCAGCCAGGGACTGCACCCACCTGACACCCTAGGAAGTCAGGACTGCAGAAGCTGGTCCCTGGGGGACCTGCAGCAGATCCCGGGGTGTTCCTGGTGTGGCTGCAGTGCACCTGAGGCCTCCCGTCCTGAGCCCCATGCCGGCCCTGGGGCCAGGGCTGCTGGGCACCAGCCTCTCGGGGCCTCCAGAGCTGGCAGAAGGCACCGCCCTGCACAGCCCTGGGCCTGGCCGCGTGCAGTGTGGGCCCTGCTGTCCTGCCAGCGCTGCGGTTTACCGACTCAAACCAAAGGACATGCTGCGGGGACAGCGTGGGGCCCACAGGGCCTCAAATACCGACTCCGGCCCTTCACAGAGCGCGCGTCTGGAACACGCGTGGGGCGAGCAGGCAGCACATCCCAGCGCGGGGCTGCGGGCTTGCCGGGTGGGGACGGGGTTCAGGACTGGCTTGTGACTTCCTGCGAGGGTGACCCCACAGGACCTCGTGGACACGGGGGGGTTTAACGGCGCAGGAAGAACCGGAAGGATTCAGAGGCGGGAGGGACCCGCCCCGGTGGGCGGAAGTCAGGCTCCGCGGCTCCGGAGGCTGCTCCCCGCAGGCAGGCGCGCCCCATGTTCCCCGGCCATGGAGTCCACGTTATAAACTCGGTTACCGCAGAACGTTGTGTGAACAGTACTGTGTTCTCGAACGCACGCCGAGAACAGGCCGACGCAGCATTTGTGCAGCAGATGCCGACGCATGCAAGGGTTAGTCCGGCTCTTTCCGCAGTTCCGGAGGAGGACAGGAGAAGGCAGCATGGCTCCTGAGCGGGCTGGGCCAATTTCAGCCTGAGCGATGGTGACAGTAATGACTGCTAAGAAATGAGATCGCGACTTTTCACACGCAGAGCTTCATAAATGGCTGACCCTTCCTCCATTTCTGGGTGCTCAGGCTGGAGTGCACGTGATGGAGAGTGACAGGCCTTCCCTCCAATGCTCCTGTTCCTGCTGGAAAGTGACAGGCCCTCCCTCCACTGGGTGGACGAGCTGGAGAGTGAAGGGCCCTCCCTCCCATCCTTGATGCTCCTGCTAGAGAGATGGGCCCTCCCTCCACTCCTGTGCTCTTGCTAGAGAGAGATGGCCCACCCTCCAATCTGCACGTGCTGAGTGACAGTCCCTCCCTTCCCTGCTGGCCCTCTCTCCAATCCTTGGTGCACTGCTGGAGAGTGACAGGCCCTCCCTCCACTCCTCGTGCTCCTGCTGGAGGGCGACGGGCCCTCCCTTCAATCTTCGGTGCACGTGCCGGAGAGTGACAGGCCCTCCCTCCAATCCTTGATGCACGTGCTGGAGAGTGACAGGCCTTCCCTCCAATCCGTGTGCTCCTGCTGGAGAGCGACGCGCTTGCTGGAGAGCAGCAGGAGCTCGGCCTTAGGGTGTTCGGGACTCCGCCCAGTGGTTTTCTTTAGTGCCTGCCTAGACAGAGGAGCTCGACAGGCAGCACCAGGTTTATTCTCGCTCATTTATTCAAAGGAAAGGTACTGTGTTTGAAAATGCACCAGGCACTGGAGAGAAGAGAAAGGCGAAAGGACCTCGGGGCTGCCTGTAAGAGGCTCAAGGTGTGGCCGGGGGTGAGGCCGGGTAGCGGCACCCGCGCGGCGATGGAGGCCTGGCACCCACCGTCAGGGCACTGCCAGCCGCTGTGACTGGGATGGGGCTGGGGAGGGCGGGACGATTTCGGCTTACCAGCCTGCCCTCCGTGTCTAGTGGGAGCTGGGCACTGCTGTCCGCGTTCACGCACAGCTGGCCCGGGACAGCTCTGAGCCTCCGGCCTGGAAAGCACAGGCTCACTCATCATCCACTGGCAGTTCCCGCGAGATGCCCGCAGTGCGCTGCCACGTTTGTGCAGAGGAACAGCGTGGCATCTCACCCCTGAAGGCAGATTTGAAGGAAGACCCTCAAGGTGAAAGGCTTCTAATTACATCACCAGCTTTTCTGGACTGGAAAATAATAGTTTTTTTCTTTCTGAAGAGAAAGATTTTGAAACCTTCTCAGTGTCCAGCAGCCAAAACCTCTTTTTTCTTCTATTTTAATGCGTAATCTAGATTTCAGCAAATGAGCTGAGACTGTCTGGTAGATGCTGTGTTTGTATGTTTCTTAACAGAAATATGGCTTTGCCTTGTGCAGATGTTTATATCATAGTCCTTAAAATGAATTATATTTAAAGCTAGATATTTAGAGAACCCTTGTCAGAGTTCTCTCATAAAGTGAAGACATTTTTAGGTACTTTAAGTTCTTTAAAAGCAGGAATAGCTCTGTAAACGTGAAAGCAAAAGACCCGACTTTCAGACATGAAAGCACCCGTGAAAACCATGTGGCTGGCTTCAAAACTGCCCCCAGCCCGTGCCCGCCCCTTTTACGTGCTCTTCCTTTGCTTGATTATGCTCCTGGTTCCTGTTCCACTCAGCCACTCTCCCTGTGGGTGTATAAACTGCGGGAGAAAGCGTGATGGCCTCACCACCACCAGGCTGTCGCGTGTTCTGTGTCCATCAGGCCAAGGAGACTTGGATTAACGAGATCAATTCACTTAGTTTTGGCTTGTGGGGAGGGCAAGGGGAGCATGGGCGGCTTCGTCCGTGCTGTAAATCCCCTGCACGTACAGGCGCGTGTTGAGAGGGCCCTGCCACACCTCCCAGCTTTCTTCTGAGGATGTCCAGAAGGAATGAGCAAAGCAGGATGGCCTCCAGGAACAAAGGCCCCGAGGCTGACCCCAGATTTCCTGTGTCTACAAGCTGTGTTCTCCCAGCACGCCTGCCGCCTGCATTCATGAACAGTGGCTGAGCTGCAGGGATTGTGGGACTGAAGGCCAGCCAGCTGCGGGGAGCTGTGGCCTGGGCCGTGGCTTGGGATCAGGAAGACAGGCACCCAGACCTCAGTGAAGTAGGAGTTTTATTGAGTCCCTCCATGTCACATTAATGCATTAGCTTCATGGACAGTTTCAAAGACCGAGTCACACTGACGTCGTGGGCTGGGGTAAGCTAGGCCAGCTTGAGGCACTGCGTGTTAAAGCTATCCCCCTCCTTGCTGGCCACAGCCTCGAGCAGGGACTGTTTCTTCTGCATGCTCCGCGAGGACTCCAGCTCGTACATGGTGGTGAGGTTGAAGAGGACGCTCTCGTGCAGGTAGTGCCTGGGGTCCTGCTGCACCATGGCCTCCAGCTGCCGCAGGGAGTCCTTGAGCTTGCCCAAGTAGAGCAGACACACGGCAGCGTTGTTGTTGGCCTAGGGAGCAGCACACGCACAGGGTCAGCCACGCAACCAGGTTGGACACCCGCCCTCCAGGCTGCATGCTGGGCCCTGTGTCAGGAGTCTGCAGGTGGCACTGTTGGGCACAGCGCAGGCGGTCCCGCTGGGTCAGGTCCCCCAGTGGCCATGGCCACTGCCTGGCACCGGTGGACTGGAAAGCGAGAGTGTGCACAAGCCCGCAGGCCCCTGCTGAGACGTGTGGGTGCATGTTTCTGGTGTCTGTGACAGGCAGAGGGCGGGGGTCTGCGGCGTGAGTTCTTACCACTGCGTTTGCTGGATCCATCCTTAAGATCTCCGTGAAGAACCGGTGGGCTTCCGCGAAGTTATTCTGCCCGAGGTAAAGGAACGCTCTGTAACACAGGCGACGGTGGCAGTTAGTGGGGAAGGCCCAGGAGCTGCTGTCCCCCAGCAAAACCCACAGGGGCTCTGGACACCACACAGACCCAGCGTGTGACCCTGCGTGGCCTGGGGTTCCGGGTCTCCAGGCAGAGGTGGTGAGCTGCATTTTGTATTCAGGCTTGCAAATTAAGGATTAACTGCGATACAGTAAGTTCATCTAAATGACTTCCTGCTAAAAACGGACACCTGCTTCATTTCTGCTTTCTGATCTGGAGTGCAGGCTTTGCCCGGGGTGTGACTCCTCCTCACAAACGTGTGCCTGCACAGAGCTGTGCGCTGTCCCGCAGCACAGCAGAGCACGGTCCAGGACGGCCGTGGTGCCCTTACACACGCGCGCTGAAAATGGCGAAACGAGCGGTACTCCGGAGAACAAGGGTTAATGTCTCCGTGGAAATCAGCTTCTGTGACTAAAAGCACATCACCAAAATTCGGGAAACACCCGTGTACTTCCCGTGTCTCAGTTCTGAGAGACACAGGGCAAGAGAGGCAGAGAGAGGCGCTCTAGGGAGCTTTCCTGCTCCGTCAGCGGGGCTCACACTCCTCTGGGAAATAGAAAACATCTATTTAGTTTTAAAATATTTACCTGTTCATTAAAACCGTGATTTTACCCTGTAGTCCACCCGATTTCTGCGTTACTTTCTCAACGTCTTGAAAATATTTTTCAGCTGTTTTTATGTCGCCAATCTGCTTTGACAAAATCATTTCGTCAGTTTAGTTGACAAAAGAAATATGAAGTCTATACCCATATGTGTAGTTCCCTAATGGCACGTTAGAATATGAAGACGCGTGTGTGTCAGGCAGAGGGAAACCTGAGTGACCATTTAGTAATCATGACTTTTTGTAAGAAGACGAGACATTAACCGTACAGTGGAACGCCAACTCTCTATGTCAGAGACTAAGCTGCTAGTATCTGTGCCTTACTTGAAAGTCTTACGGTTTAGTAATTTCCACCTTTTGGAATGAATTCTGGCAGAGCATTAAGTAAAATAAAATGAATAATAAGATGAAGCATAAAATACTTAAAATATTGGTACAATATGAGCAGGCCCCAAGTCAACTTATGACTTATCTGTGGCTAGAAAAATGGTAGGTGCCATCACATTTGCAAATTTCAAAGTAACATTTTGATCAAATAATACAGAATTCTACTGTAAAAAACAAGCCAGATCAAACCCAAACGCAAACCCACCCTTACCGCATGTGTCAGGAACCCACGGCTGCCTGAAGCAAATGCAGCGGTAATGAGCAGGGCTGGCGGCCTAGGGGCCCTGGGGAGCGGAGAGCTGAGTGCCCTGCCCTGACTCCTGACCCCACAGCTTGGTTTTACAAAGGCAGACTCAGGCTTTCTTTCACCTCCAGAAGCATAAGGAAGGGAATATAGGATCTAGGGCTTACAGGAATAGGTAAAAATGGAAGAACAGTCCTGTTATGGCCCGGACAGCGCTCACGAGGGTGAAGACAGCTGCTTTGTGGCCGGGGGCGCTGCCTACGGGCGTCGGACTCTCCAGCAGCGAGCTCTGCATCACAGCCGCGATGGAAGCTGATAGAACGTTGTCCTTTGTCCCTAGAGAAACAAGCTGAAGGTGTGCTGCTCACCTCTGTGAGGAGGAGGCTGAGGGGATCGATCGCTCAGCAGTCTAGTTAACTCTTAGACTTCCTGGAAAGCATCTGTCCGGCATTAAAATAAGCCTGCACATTCTCAGAAGTCTGGCTGGGAGATGGTTCTCAGGGGTCTGTCGTGTTTCTGCATGTCTTCCAAGCACAGATGCTGACAGGGTTTTGTTCGAAGCATCCACACAAGGATGCCTGTTTAAAGGACAGCCTTGTGAGCTAAACGGCGTCCCTCTGGGGTGAAGGGCAGGCAGGCTCACCTCCCAGGAGCAAGGACTTGTTGTTCTAAGTTCAGGATCCCTCTCCAGCACACCCACTGCTGGCATCGTCAGGTCCTCGGTGAGGACCCTAAGGAATCAGGGCCGCATGTCCGGTGGAAACGCCACTCTGGCCATGCTGCTGCTGCTCTGAGAAATCTCCTTCATCCCTGACCTAGGAATCTCACATGTTTTGCCAGCATCCAGGAAAATGGCAGCTAACTCCACAACTGGCACATAGAGTAACATCTCAGGCCCTTCACAACTGTTGGTATTACCCCACAAAAGAAGTACCGTACGAGGAGGGAGAAAAACGAAACAGAACGAGACACAAAACGCAGGTGTGCACACACCACACACAGTGGCCCCTGTCCACCGCGGCCCTCGCCTGCGCAGTCTGAAGCGTCTCAAGTCTACTACTGTGGACTTCTCACTTGCTGGCTAAAAAGAAACCAGAGGCCGTGTGGACTCCACTACGTGGCCCTCAGCTCCCACAACTGGGTGTCCTGCATTCATGAAGGTCCTGTTTAACAGGACAGTGTTTGATATGGATCTGAAGATGATGAGAGCTCATCATCAAGACCCATCAAAATTAACACATGCTGATGGCTGTGGAGAATGTTTCAGACGCAGCTCTCCTTGCCCTCGTTAACAGCCTGTGCTGCAGATGCTGTCACCAGCTTTGCTTTCCAGATCAAAGAGTGAGGCTTGGAAAGATGAGGCAATTTTCTGAGGTCACACAGCTAACACAGAACATGTGGGGTCGACACCCAGGCCTGTCCAACGCCGAGACCACGTGCCGATCCTCCACACGGCAAGGTCTCATGGGGCTGGCACGGGGCTTTACTGAAACAATGTCTCCGAGGAAGACCACAGAGCCATCTTGGGATATTCTTTGCTACCCACTGATTTTC